TAGTGGTATTGATCATCTTTGTATGTGCCTGTGTCCATTTGCATGTCTTATTAAAGGAGTGTACGTTCAACTGTTTCTCCATTTTGTAGTTTTGGTTGAGTTATCTAAATTATACATTGTGGTTAAGACTATTGTTACATATATAATGTACAGAATATTTTTTTTCTTTCTGTGTGTCTTTCATTTTTTTTTTTTTTTTTTTGAGACGAGGTCTTATTCTTTCACCCAAGCTGAAGTGCAGTTGCACAATCTCTGCTCACTGCCAACTCCACCTGTCAGGTTCAAATGATTCTCCTGCCTAAGTGTCCTGAATAGCTGGGATTACAAGCGTGCATCACCATGCCCGGCTAACTTTTGTATTTTTAGTAGAGACGGGGTTTTGACATGTTGGCCAGGCTGGTCTTGAACTCCTGACCTCAGGTGATCCACCCGCCTCAGCCTCCCAAAGTGCTGGGATTACAGACATGAGCCACTGTGCCCTGCCACTCCCAGGCATTTTGTTTTTCTTTTTTGAGATAAGATCTTGCTCTGTCGGCCATGCTGGAGTGCAGTGGCTTCATATTGGCTCACTGCAACCTCTGCCTGCTGGGTTCAAGCAATTCTCCTGTCTCACCGTCCCAAGTAGCTGGGATTACAGGTGTGTTCCACCATGCCTGGGGAATATTTGTATTTTTAGTGGAGACAGGATATTGCCATGTTGGCCAAGCTGGTCTTGAACTCCTGACCTCAAGTGATCCATCTGCCTCGCCCTCCCAAAGTGCTGGAATTGCAGTCATTAGCCACTATGCCTGGCCTTTCCTTTTTGAGACAGGGTGTTGTGCAGTCGCCCAGGCTGCAGTGCAGTGGTGCAATCTTGGCTTACTGCGGCGTCCACTTTCTGGGTTCAAGCAATCCTCCCACCTCAGCGTCCCAAGTAGCTGGGACTACAGGTGTGTGCCACTATGCCCGGCTAATTTTTATATTTCTAGTAGAGACAGGGTTTTGCTATGTCATCCTGGCTGGTCTTGATCTCCTGGACTCAAGTGATTCACCTGTCTCGGCCTCCCACCGTGCTGGGATTACAGGCATTACCTGCCGTGCCTGGCCTATATTTAACTTTCTGAGGAGATACCAAACTATGTTAAAAATAGGCTGTACCATCTTATATTCCACATAAAGTATTTAAGGTTGTAATTTATCTTTGACCTTGCCAACACTTGTTGTTTTACGTTCTTTGGATCTTATCCTTTCTAGTGTGTGTGAAGGAGTATGTCATTGTGGTTTCAGTTGAAATGGCCATAATGATAATGGGTAGGGTTGTGGTTGGGGTTAGGGTCAGGGTCAGGGTTTAGGGTTAGGGTTAGGGTTTGGGTTTAGGGTTCTGGTTAGGGTTAGGGTTCCAGTGAGGGTTAATGTTAGAGTTTAAGGTTAGAGTTAGGGTTTGGGTTAGGGTTAGGGGTAGGAGTTAAGGGTTAGGGTTAGGGATAGAGAGTCAGAGGGTTTGGGCTAGGGGTTAGGGTTTAGGGGTTAGGTGTTAGGGTTGGGGTTGCGATTAGTGGTTAAGGTTAGGGGTAGGGTTAGGGGTTAGGGTTTGGGGTTAGTGTTATGGCTTAGGTTTAGGGTTAGAGGGTTAGAGTTTATGGTTAGGGTTTAGGGTTAGGGTCAGGGTCAGGGCTAGGGTTAGGTGTTAGTGTTGGGTTTAGGGTTTAGTGTTAGGTTTTGGTTTAGAGTTTGTGGTTAGGGTAAGGGTCAAGGGGTTAGGGTTATGATTGGGGGTTAGGGTTTAGTGTTAGGTTAGAGTTAGGGTTAGGGTTAGTATTAGATTTAGGGGTTAGGGCTTAGGTTTAGGTTTTAAGGTTAGGGTTAGGGGTTAGGTATGGGGTTAGGGATTGGGGGTTATGGTTTTGGGTTAGGGTTAGGGTTTAGGGGTTAATGTTAGTTTTGGGGTTGTTGTTAGTGTTTAGGGTTAGGTTTAGGGTTGAGGTTGGGTTGGGGTTGGGGTCAGGTCAGTGTTAGGGGCTAGGGTTAGGTGTTAGGGTTAGCAGTTAGGGTTGGGGCGGGTTTAGGCTTTAGGCCTTATAAGCTCTAGGAAGCCCCAGAAGAACCTGGGATGCAGCTGCTTCTGTAATTTTAGGGAGATAGGATATATCAATCAAATGTATTTAAGATATATATTGGTTCGGTCTAGAAAGGTGCAACAACCCAGTGGGTTAGGGTGAAGAGGGGCTTTCAGGTTATTGGTAGATTAAAATTTTTCTGATTGGTAACTGGTTGAAAGAGTTATCAATAGAAAGGAGCATCTGGGTTATGATAAGGGGTTATGGATACTCAAGTTTTATGCAGATGAAGCCTCCAGGTAGCAGGCTTCAGAGAGAATAGATTGTAAATGTTTTTTACCAGATTGAAGGTCTGTGTTGATGTTAAATGCTGATTGGCTTTTCCTGAATTCCAAAAGGGAGGAAGGCATAATGAGCCATGTCTGACCACCTCTTTCCCATCATGGCCTGAACCAGTGTTGCAGGTTAACTGGTGTACCCTGGTGGAGAGAAGGGAGTCTATACAGATAACTGGGGGAAGTGCCTTTGAATTTTATTTTTGGTTTGCAAGTGCTATTCTAGTCACTTCATGCTCTCAAGATGTGTTATCACCATTAATGTTAACTTTGATTACCTGGCTGAGATAGTATTTTCAGGTTTCTATCTGTGAAGTTACTTTTTTCCCATGTCTATATTATATGTATGCTTTTGGAGGAAGTCACCACGCGGGGCCCACACCTAAGGAGTGGGGAGTTAGCCGTATGTCCTTAATGACTGAATGTCTGTATCGGGTATTTGGAATTCTTCTGTATAAGAAAAACTACTCAGCCCATATGTGTATCAGTTTTATCATTTGCGTATACTGGTATGGACACTCAGATAGTTACTTTAATCTTGTGGGTGTTATCCATTCTACAGTATTTTGTTTTTCCTTGTTTATACCCATGGCCACTGGGAGCTCTTTCCACTGGCTCCTTTGCCATAATTTAATGTTTTTTTAAATTTCTTGTTAATTCAAAAGTATCCTGACTCAGGTATTTTCTGTTCTAGGGTTAGTTTCAGCCATTTCTTCAAAGAGCCCTGATGTTCTTTGTTAGAGAATGGTATTAAAAACATATCCAGCCACTAAATGTGGTCATTGTATCATGACCCTCGCAGCTGACACTGCAAAGAAATATATGTATGTATTCTAACTTATATGTACCCATTTAATTATAAAGATTTCTACGTGGACCCATCTGTGTATATATTAAGCTAGATGTGTTTATACTTATGTCTTCAATCAGTAGACTCATCCCTTATCACAGAGCTCATTTTAGGCTTCCCCTATTTTATATCTGTAACATCTACTCAACAGCGAGGAACCTGGCTCCCACTCTCTGCCATTTATTGCATCCCCTGTTCCATTGGGAACAAGGAATTCACTCTTGATCCAGATTCCTGGTTGCAACTTAATAAGAAATATATGTTTGATCTCTGTCTCCAGTTCCTGGCACAGAGCTTCTAAAACTTGTATAATTTCCTGAACAATAGTAGTACTAGGTGCATCTTATGTTCTAATTGGTCTCTGGCCCTGGTTCCTGATACAGAGCTCTTAAATCCCTTGGAATCTCCTGGGTAATAGGAATGTCTTCTGTTCTAGTAAGGACCTTAATAAGGTCCTACTAAGTTGTTACCATGGAATTAGACAACCATTTCCATGAGGATCTAGAACCACAGGGCCTATCTGCTGTGAGAGCAACACAGTCAGCGCTCAGTCACAGTACCATTGCTTAGAACCAGGAGAGCTCTCCTCCTGCACTTGGCTTCCCAAAGTGCTGGGATTACAGGCATGAGCCACTGTACCTGGCCTGATCCCCCAAAAAATGGGTTTATGCCTGGGAGAGGGTACCCCCAGATGGATAACATTTGCAGTTTTTTCATATAATGTGCGGACCTCTTTACAAACACCTTCAGAACGTGCAGGCTCATCCATCTGTCCACATACAAGCAATCATATCAGTTCCCTTTTTTATACAAAGCAATTTTGTTTCTCTTCTTTTGCTATCTCTAGTCCTTTCAGCATGATGAACACAAGTATTGGCGGCATACCTGAGTCATCTCTGTTTCTTATTTATTTATTTTTTGAGAAAGAGTCTCACTCTGTCACCCAGGCTGTAGTGCAATGGTGCGATCACGGCTCACTGCAACCTCCGCCTCCTGGGTTCAATTGATTCTCCTGCCTCAGCCTTTCATGTAGCTGGGACTACAGGCATGCACAACCATGCCCAGCTAATTTTTTTGAATTTTTATTAGAGATGAGGTTTCACCATGTTGGGCAGGCTGGTCTTGAACTGCTGACCTCAGATGATCTGCCCACCTTGGCTTCCCAAAATGCTGAGATTACAGACATGAGCCACCACACTCAGCTTTATTTATTGATTTATTGAGATAGGGTCTCACTCTGTCACCTAGGCTGGAGTGCAATGACGTGATCTCAGCTTACTGTATCCTCAAACTCCTGGATTCAAATGATCCTGCCAGCCCCCTGAGTAGCTGGGACTACAGGCATGGGCCATCACATCAGGCTAATTTTTAATATTTTTGTAGAGACAAGAGTCTTGCTGTGTTGCTCAGGTCTTGAACTCCTGGCCTGAAGTGATTTTCCTGCACTCTGTACTTGGCTTCCCAAACTTCCCAAAGTGCTGGGATTTCAGGCATGAGCCGCTGCACCTGGCCTAATCCCTGTGTGTGTGTGTGTGTGTGTGTGGGTTTGAGACGAAGTCTTGCTCTTGTCACTCAAGGTAGAGTGCAGTGGTGCCGTCTCTGTTCACTTCAACCTCTGACTGCTGGGTTCAGGCAACTCTCCTGCCTCAGCCTCCCAAGTAGCTGGAATTACAGGCACCCACCACCATGCCTGGCTAATTTTTATATTTTTAATAGAGATGGGATTTCACCACGTTGGCCAGGCTGGTCTCAAACTCTTGACCTCAGGCGATCCACCTGCCTTGGCTTCTCAGAGTGTTGGGATTACAGGCATGAGCCACTGCGCCCAGCCCCTAATCTCTCTTTTATGGACTGGTCACTTCCCCAAAGATGGGTTTGTGACTGGGAGGGGGCGCCCCCAGGTGGACAGCATTTGAAATTGTTCCATATGATGGCTTACTAACCTTATTGGAAAAGCCACCATCCTCTTCCTGGATCTTGTCTGTGGAATGGCAGCTCATTGGTAGGAGCGTGGAGGTGGGAGATCGCCACCATCAAGGTCAGCACTTGGGATGTTGTTTCCCATGAACTGAAAAGCTTTCTCCTCACGCCTTACACATGCAGAACTTGGCAGACAGGAAGCTGTTGCCACACATCTTGAGACACCGAAACCCAAAGCCCGAGTTCTTTGCTCTTCTGGCTGGGTGACTTGGGGCTTTGGTTTCCCTAGGCCCGGGTGGCCTTTGACCGTCTGGTCGCTGCCTTCTGCCTGGAAGAAGCTGAGCCTGGTGCAGTGGACTCAGTCCCTCTGCACGCTGTGAGTGCTGAGTCTGGCAGGAGGGGTGTGGGAGGGATGGGGGCGTGGGGGCCACCCTGGCCCATAATGGCAACCCAGCATCAGCGCTGGGGGCAGATGGGGGCTGCAGGCAGTGGACTGGCACGTGCAGATCACATTGTCTGCGTGTCACTTGGAAACAGACATCGTGCTGCTGTTTCTGTTAGCCGTTTAGCAACACTCACTGAGCACCCACTTTATGCCATCCTGGGCATACAGCAGGAAACATGCTAACGCAGTGGTCTGCAAGCTTTTTGGCACCAGGGACTGGTTTTGTGGAAGACAGCTTTTCTATGGACTTGGGTGGGGTGCGTGGTTTTGCGATGATTGAAACACATTACATTTATTGTACATTTATTATTACTACACTGTAATATGTAATGAAATAATGATTTCACATTGTCTTCCTGCAACTGGACGGTCCCATCTGGGGGTGATGAGAGACAGTGACAGATCATCAGACATTAGATACTCATAGGGAGCATGCAGCCCAGATCCTTCACATGCGCAGTTCACAGTAGGGTTCATGCTCCTATGAATCTAATGCTGCTGCTGATGTGACAGGAGATGGAGCTCAAACGGTGATGCAGGTGATGGATAGTGGCTATAAACACAGATGACACAATGCTTGCCTGTCCTCCGCTCACCTCCTGCTGTATGGTCCAGTTCCTGAGAGGCGGCAGACTGGTACCAGTCTGTGAGCTGGGGACTGGGGACTCCTGCTCTAACAGACCAGGTCCTTGTCCTCGTGCAGAAAGTCCAAGATAAGCATGGCAACGTTTTGGTCAAGCTATAAAATAGCATCACTGCAAGCCAGGCGCGGTGGCTCATTCCTGTAATCCCAGCACTTTGGGAGGCCGAGATGGGCAGATCATGAGGTCAGGAGTTTGAGATCAGCCTGGCCAGCATGGTGAAACCCCATCTCTCCTAAAATACAAGTTTTAGCCAGGCGTGGTAGCATGCGCCTGTAATTCCAGCTACTCAGGAGGCTGAAGCAGGAAAATCACTTGAACCCGGGAGGTGGAGGTTGCACTAAGCCAAGATCATGCCACTGCACTCCAGCCTGGGAGAGCAAGATTCCATCTCAGAAAAAAAAAAAAAAAGGAAAAAAGAAAATAGCATCACTGCAAGCATCATTGCCCCATGAGACTCCCCAGACTCAAGTTACCTGGGCTTGCCCTTCCACCCCATCCTTTTGTCACCCCATGGACCAAGACACCTTCCCCCTTGTTGTACTGAAGAACCTGGGCAAACTGTGTACCTGAAAAACACTCACTTAGTGGTAAAAAGCCTAGCCTATGGCATTGGACTGCCCAGGTCCAAATCCCAGCCCCAGCACTGACTCGCTGTGTAATCCTGACAAGTAGATCATCTCTCTCAGCCTCCCTGTTTCCATGTGCAAGATGAGCATATCAGTCATCACAGCAGCTGATTGTGAGAATGGATTTAATGGATCTGGGCTGAGCCACGAGAGCTTTGATTTTAGAAAATCTTTCAGGAGAGTCTAACTATGTGTTAAGGATCAAGAACCACTAATCTAATTACACTTGTCACAGTGAAATATTTATTATTGATTATAATAATTATAGTTACATAGTTAAAATATATAACATATATTCTAATAAGTATTTACTATTATTTGAGATGGAATCTCGCTCTGTCATCCAGGCTGGAGTGCAGTGAGTGGCGCAGTCTCGGCTCACTGCAACCTCCCAGGTTCAAGCAATTCTCCTGCCTTAGCCTCTCCAGTAGCTGTGACTACAGCTACCCGCCACCACACCTGGCTAATTTTCATACTTTTTGGTAGAGATGAGATTTTGCTATGTTGGCCAGGCTGGTCTGAAACTCCTGACCTCAAGTGATCCACACACCTCAGCTTCCCGATGTGCTGGGATTACAGGCTGAGATACTGCACCCAGCCACAGTGAAATTAATAACACCCTCTTCACTCTTTGGGAAGACTGGGATTAAATGATAATTTATATCAGAAGGTCACTAACTGTTTCGTAAGTGACCAAATTGTGCATATTTTAGGCTAGTGGGCCACATAGTTTCCATCACAACTGCTCAAAACATGAAGCATATAAATTAATGGATTTGGCTGTGTTCCAACAAAACTTTATTGATAAAAGTAGGCAGTAGGCAGGATTTGGCCTCTGGGCCATGGTTTGCCTTCCCCTGGGTTATTAGCCATGGGACTTGGAAAGAACAAGACCCCTGCAGGGTCACACACAAGCCAGCGAGTAGCAGGACGGTTTGTTCAGTGGGAGAGAGTTCCTGCTGTAGCTTCTGCCCCGGCCTCTTGTTCCCCGCAGGTGCCAGGTAGGATTGCATCACGATACACAGTGCCACCTTCACCTTGTTCCAGGAAAGCCCGCCCTGCCTCCACAGGTACAGAATGACACCCATGGAAACCAGCCTTATGTTTTTAGGGAGAATCTGCGTGGAGCTCCTGCTGCCTTCTGAGGGGTGGTGCAGGTTTCCAGCTTGGGATGGGAGGGTGGGTTAGGTTGGGCTGGGGCTCTTCCAGGAAGGTTCCCAAGTTGCTCCTGTACCTCCTGCAGGTGGGGACTTGTACAGCATAGACCAGCACCTCCTGCAGATGGGGACTAGGGCATCTGAGTGTCCTCCATCTGGGGAGACACCCCTCTGCTCCAGGGCTGGCCAAGACATTGCCAAGGTGGGGCTGGCTGGGGAGCCGCATCGTTCAGCCTTGTCAGCTTTGCTCACTTCTGTGCCACGTTTATCAGTCCCAGATCATTATTACCTGTAGCCCCCAACTCTGGCTTAGTCTTTGTGGCCAAAAATCTCAGCCAGCCCTGAAGCCCCGTAAGAAGGGAGAGGATATGTCCTGGGCAGTATTTGTATTGGTTGTCATTCACTCACATCACTGATGGAGC